TAGGTGTTCAGGATGTTTTGAAAGTTATCTAGATAAGTTTGTGGGACCAGATGAGTTGAGGACCCCTACTCTTCTGCCATCTTGCCTCCACTCTCAATATTTGATTATTGTTGGGATTTTAGCTAAGCTACTCCATAGTAGCTGCCTTGGTATCTACTTTGTATGGTCAGGAGGCCTCCAGGGTCCTAAAATTGACACTAGCCTCTCATATAAGCACAAGCATGTGTAGCATCTTTTAGAGTCACAAACAAACAGAAGCACCCAATGTGACTTACCCTGCAACCCTGGTGAGCAACAGTCTCCTCTTCTTTCCAGGAGCTTCCTCTTATGTGCCCTTAGATAAGACCCTCGTGAGGTTCACCAGAATCCTGCTCTTTGGGGTTGAGTTGGCCAATCTGGCTCTATCTCAAGAACCCCAAAGCACTTCACCCAGCAAGCAGATCCTGTGGCCCCTTTAGTTGCTGAGTACTTCCCCCAGGACCTATGAGTGATAGCTTCTCTATTTCAGTTTCCCCCACGGTCCTTTGTTGAACTGAGATTCATCATGCATCACCCTGTGCTCCACTTAAGTGTTATTTTAATAAATTAATAACAATTATATAGAATATTTGTGATGTGATGAGCAGTGGGTATTATACTATATGTTGACAAACTGAACTTAAAAAAAAAGAATATTCACCATCAACTATGGAACATATAGAATATTGATCCAAACTGAACATATTCTGATCCATAAAGAATCTCAATGAATTTGAAAGAACTGATATCATATGGAACAAGATCTCTGGCCGTGATGTTTAGATTGAAATTAAGGAGAAAAATGGTTTTTGAGTCAGAAACACACCTTAATATAACACAAGTAATCTCAATTCAGGTTAGGGTTTATGATCAAAGGAAGTGATTAAAACTTACAATGTGAAATTATACATCGTGCTGCTGAGTTTCAGCTTTTTTTTTTTGCAAAGATGTTTTTAAATTCTTTTTAAATTTAAAATTAAATTAGTCAACATATAGTACATTAGTTTCAGATGTAGTGTTCAATTATTCATCAGTTGAGTATAACACCTAGTGCTCATCACATCACATGCCCTCCTTAATACCCATCATTCAGTTACCCCATCCCCCACACACCCACCTCCCCTCCACCAACCCTCAGTTTGTTTCCCAGAGTTAAGAGTCTCTCATGTTTTGTCTTCCTCTGTAATTTTTTCCCCATTCAGTTTTCCCTCCATTCCCTTATGGCCCACTGCACTATTTCTTATATTTATATATGAGTGAAGCCATATGATGATTTTCCTTCTCCAATTGACTTATTTCACTCAGCATAATACCCTCCAGTTCCATCCACATTGATGTAAGTGGTAAGTATTCATCCTCTCTGATGGCTGAATAATATTCCATTGTATATATACGCCACATCTTCTTTATCCATTCATCTATTGAAGGATATCATGGCTCCTTCTACAGTTTGGCTACTGTGGACATTGCTGCTATGGACATTGGGGTGCGGGTGCCCCTTCATTTCACTACATCTGTATCTTTGAGGTAAATTCCCAGTAGTGCAATTGCTGGGTCATAGGGTAGTTCTATTTTTAACTCTTTGAGGAACCTCCATACAGTTTTCCAGAGTGGCTGCACCAGTTCAAATTCCCACCAGCAGTGCAAGAGGGTTCCCCTTCTCCACATCCTCTCCAACACCTTTTGTTTCCTGTCTTGTTAATTTTCCCCATTCTCACTGGTGTGAGGTGGTATCTCATTGTGGTTTTGATTTGTATTTCCTTGATGGCAAGTGACAGGGAATATTTCCTCATGTGCTTGTTGGCCATGCATAGGTTTTCTTTGGAGAAATGTCTGTTCATCTCTCCTGCCCATTTCTTGACTGGATTGTTTGTTTTTTGGGGTATTGAGTTTAATAAGTTCTTTATAGATCTTGGATACTAGCCCTTTATCTGGCATGTCACTTGTAAATATCTTCTCCCATTCCATAGGTTTCCTTTTAGTTTTGTGAACTGTTCTCTGTGCTGTGCAGAAGCTCTTTATCTTGATGAAGTCCCAATAGTTCATTTTTGCTTTTGTTTCTTTTGCCTTTAGAGGCATGTCTTGCAAGAAGTTGCTGAGGCTCAGGTCAAAAATGTTGCTGCCTGTGTTCTCCTCTAGGACTTTGATGGATTTCTGTTTCACATTTAGTTCTTTCATCCATTTTGAATTTATCTTTGTGTCTGGTGTAAGAGAGTGGTCTAGTTTCATTCTTCTGCATGTGGCTTCTGCATGTGGCTGTCCATCACCATTTGTTGAAGAGACTGTCTTTTTTCCATTGGATATTCTTTCCTGCTTTATTGAAGATTAGTTGACCATAGAGTTGAGGATCTATTTTTGGGTTCTCTCTTCTGTTCCATTTAATCTATGTGTCTGTTTTTGTGCCAGTACCATACTGTCTCGATGACCACAGCTTTGTAGTACAGCTTGAAATCCGGTATTGTGATGTCTCCAGATTTGGTTTTCTTTTTGAGTATTCCTCTGGCTATTCAAGCTCTTTTCTGGTTGCATACAAATTTTAGGATTATTTGTTCCAGCTCGGTGAAAAATGTTGATGGTTTTTTGACAGGGATTTCATAGAGTGTGTAGATTGCTCTGGGTAGCATAGACACTGTCACGATATTTATTCTCCCAATCCATGAGCATGGAATGTTTTTCTATCTCGTGTTTTTCTAAATTTCTTTCCTTTTCTTAAAAACAGATTTTATTTATTTATTCGAGAGAGAGAGAGAGAGAGAGAGAGAGAGAGAAACAGACTCCATGCAGAAAGCCTAATGTGGGACTCGATCCCGGGACTCCAGGATCACACCCTAGGCCAAAGGCCAGTGCCAAACCGCTGAGCCACTCAGGGATTCCCTCTCAATTTCTTTCCTAAGTGTTCTGTATTTTTTAGTGTACAGATCCTTTACCTCTTTGGTTGAGTTTATTCCTAGGTATCTTCTTCTGTTTTTTTGATGGAGTTGTAAATGGGATCAGTTCCTTAATTTCTCTTTCTTCTGTCTCATTATTAGTGTATCAAAATGCAACTGATTTGTGTGCATTGATTGTTTTATCCTGCCACGTTGCCAAATTCCTGTATGAGTTCTATCAATTTTAGGGTAAAGTTTTTTGGGTTTTCCAATAAAGTATCATGTCATCTGCAAAGAGTGAGAGTCTGACTTCTTCTTTGCCAATTTGAATGAGTTTCAGCTTTAAGGAAGTGACAGTCCATACAGGCACCAGTAGAGAGTGGTCATGAGGATAACCGATAATCACAGTCTCTGTCAAAAATGGAAGGAAATTATGCTTAAAAAAAGCATAAACAAAGGAAAGAAGAAACAGATTCATAGAGAGAGTCAAGAAATCCAACAGCTGGTTCATTGACAGGCCTCCCAAAATCGGTGACCCCTGACAACGCAATCTAGAAGTGAGGCAGTCACAACCCATGTCAGTAGCGAAAAAGAGGCCTTGTTATAGATCTTGCAGGTCCTGAAAGATGACAGTGACCACTCTTGTCATCTTGCTGCTGGGAAGGGGGAGGAATAATCAGCCATGTGGGGACCTGAGCTCCTCGGGAGAGGAAACACTCAGGATCAGATGCACTTGTAGACAATTTGTGTAGTCCTCATCATGATTGTTCTTAGATACCCATGTCACCAGCTATTTACTGATGTGCAACAGTGAAGATGGTCACTAGGGTATCTGACATCTGGCCATAATACTCCCATCTCTTTCTGGGGTAGCCCCGGTCTGTACTTATGGCCTGTCTGAACAGCTGTGGCCCTGGCCCTACACCTTTTCATCAATGTGCAGGTGTCTGTTTATTCCATGCCCACGTAGGAAAATCCTTCCCTTTCAGAGTGTCCCCTCATGTACCTGGGCAGCATCATACATTCTTGGTCCACTCACTTCCATTGCCTCATACAGAGGCTAGGTGGGGACACTCACAGGTACTGTGGTTCCTTCCAGAAAAACCTAACGCAATGAGATGGCAAAAGCCATGGGATTTCAAAGTGGTAGATCTGGGATGCCTGGGTGTCTCAGCGGTTGAGTGTCTGTCTTTGGCTCAGGGTGTGATCTTGGGGTCCCAGGATCGAGTCCTGCATCACGCTTCCTGTGTGGATACTTCTCCCTCTGCCTATGTCTCTGTCTCTCTCTCTGTCTGTCTCTCAGGAATAAACAAACAAAAAATCTTTAAAAAGACAAAGTGGTAGTGGTGCATGGAAATGCATGTTGGTTAGGGCTGGGAAACACCTTTTTTTCACAGTCCCTGACCCCTCTCATGCACATGGCTGTCATCCATGCCCATTCTAGCAGAGCCCTGCCCTGGGCTGATACCCACTTTGTCCTGGGCATTTTCTCCACCCACCCTAGGACATTAGAAACTTCTCTCCCCACTGCCAAGCACAGCGAGTCCTCATGACAGGTAGGTCAACAGGTGCCAATGGTGGTACAAAGGATGATAATGCAGTTCCAATGGTGGCTCTTTCCTGTGCCTTCCTGATGCCCCCAGAGTTTGTGGGCTGCAGCCATCGTCATAGGTAGACCTGGTTTTTACCTCAACTCCCCAGGACTCAGGGCCCACTGGTGTTCCTAAGAGTTCCTGTGACTTGGCAGCTGTAGGATACGTGGCTGTGAGAACAAGGGAGATGGGTTCAGGACCTCTTTTTGGAGCCTATTAGGGCTGTGCTGGGGTAGGGGGAAGCAGCCCTGGAAACAGAACATATTGCATTGCATTTCCCTGGGTCCAAGGCATGTGGAACAAAGGGGTGGAAATTGTAAATCTTTGCTCTGCCTTCTGTTAGGGATGATAGGAGGGACAAAGCAGGCAGTGAAAGGGAGGAGCTAGACAGAGCATTGGCCAACATCCCAGGGACTCCTTGAGATAGGGCTGTGTGGGATGCAGAGCTTTGGAGGGTGTCCCCGCACCAGCTGTCACCCTGCCACCCATGTGTTCCTGGCCTCCAGGGCTGACACCAGACAGCATGGTCCTGAAGGCATCCCTGCTTCTGGGGCTCATTGTGCTGATGCCTCATGTTTGCAGTCCCAGCTTTGTGGACATTAGTAGGAGATCAAATTACTTCACCCTGTGTGTTGAGTTTGCAGTATTTCATTTCAACCAAGTCTACCCAGATGAGTATGCATATAAGCTGCTGTGGGTGCGGCGAAGCCAGCACAAGGTGAGTAGTGTGTCCTCACTCCATGTGGCTCCATGTTTGCCCTGAGACCACACTTGGGGGTGGGTGGGTCCTTGATCTGCAAGAAAGATCAATGGATGTTTTAAGTTTGTAAATATTATTTAAAAGGTTATAAGATTTCATTAGAAATGCTTCAAGTTTCTGATTTGTTTCCTTCATGAGCAAGGCTCCTGAATAACAGAGGAGAGATGGAAAGAAGTTGAGCAGAAAGCAAGCATGGAAAGCGGAGATCCAGCTGCATAGTGAGGGAGGGAAGAACAGCCACCAGTGAGGTAGCTGGGACAAGCCAGAACAGCAAGGACAGATGAGAAATGAGAAGGACTAAGAGAAGGGGTAGCTGGTAAACACAAGCCCAAGAAGGAAAGGCATCACAAAGGCTGATCTGTGATGCTCAGTTAAGCTTTATGAAGCACTATGGATCCAGGGCTGAGCAGGAGGCAGTAGAGAAGACAGATTGGGACATGTTCTTGTTGGGCTGTGATGCTGGTGAGGACAGGTCGACAGCCCTGGAGTTCATGAGTGGAATAGTGGAATGCTGGGGAAAAGAGGTAGGTGTGGGGGCCCAGGGACAAGGGGAGGCTGAGAGCATGGGGGTTGGTCAGAGAAGGCATCTCAATGGTGGGTACTCCTGGAAAAACCCAGTCACATGGAGGTTGGGGATGGGAAGGGCAGGCAGCTCCAGAGAGAACCGTGGATGGGGACAAGCAAAGTGTATCTGTGCAGACAACCTGAAGTTCTGTGGATGGGAGTTGCAGAAAAGGAGATGCAGAGAGGAAGGAGTGCAGGGGGAGGTGGGGCTGGAGACACCTTTAGGGCCCCAGGTGAAAATCTGAGATGTTATCCTTAGAGATATGAAGATCCAGTAGGGAAGAAGTTGGGCCTGATGAAAATGTGGGAGTCCTTAGCCTCTGTTGGGCAAATCTTTCCCACTGTTGTTTATTCTTATCACATTGTACTTTCTTTGAACAGAATGCAAACTGCTATCCAGACCTCATTCTGTCCATGCCAAGATTCTGGTCCCTGCATGAACAACGCTGAGCCAGGCAGCATGCCTGGTGGGCCCTGGTAGGGAGGGTCTCACATCTGCACCACACTCCTGAGGACACTGGGTGTGGGCCCTTCCTTGCACAGCGCTCACGGGCTTCCCTCAGTCTCTCCCATTTTCTGACTCTCTGCCTCTTCCTTGAATGGCAGCCAGACCTGGACACCTGGAGGCCACAGGAGCTCCTTGGGCATGGGTAGTATGCCTGTGCTCCCAGCCACCGTGCCCTGGTCCAGTGACCATGCAAGTGAGGCTGGGGGGTGCATGACTCCGCGTGCACATGTGTGTTTGAGAGTGTGTTGTTGGTGTGCATTGGGGCATGAGTGGGTATCATGTTTCTGTTTCAGGAATTGAGCCCCAAATGAAGTCAACCTTCTAGATAATTCCAGGTCAGTCCAGTGAGAGACAGGTTCCTCCCTATGGTGATTTCTGGTAACATTTCTATGTTTGAGTTCTTGAGTTTTCATGCACTTCTATTTAACGAGATGAAATAGTAACTTTTAATAACCTCTGATAGAAGCTTAACAAAGATGTGGAACAGCATCTGCTCTATAAATATCCAAATGAGCTTTAGCAAGAAGAGCCCTTTTGGGTAGTCAGCTCCCACATGAAGAGGGAAGCATTCCCAGCCCCCAAAGCCCCCTACACCCCCATCTGGATGTTGCCCTGAAAGGAATGGCCAGCTCCAATGGCTAATCAGTAGATTACCACACCCGTGTTACCCTGCCCTCCAGAGGAAGACTCACTGGCATGTTCACCTTGTGTCTGGCCAATGCTGCCCAGGCTATGACTGAGAAATCAGTGGTGCCATCAGTGTTGCTGTAGCCTGAGAAGACTCCTTTGGTCCTATGAGCCTCTTACCTTCTTATCTCCTGTGTATTCATGTGTGGATGTGACTAGCAGGTACAGGTCATCAGGAGCAGCGCCACAGGGAAGACCCTACTACATGCTTCAGGTGCATTTAGGAATCTCTTTTTTTGAAAGAAAAATAGAGACTTAAGAGGAAAAGGTGAAATGATAAATCAATTTAAAAATAAGAAAAATAAGAGACATCGTACAAATGTCCTTATGCATTTACATACATACATTCACAGTTGTTGCCTGTTTTCCTTTTGGTTCTCTGTTTTTCTTATTAATGCAAAGTATTTCACTGAAGTTCCTACAATTTTTCTTAACAGAAGTTTACCATGATATATTTAATGGAATTGGAGTTGGGACAAACCATTTGTGCAAAACAGGATGAAGATCTGGACAACTGCCCCTTGCAAGAAGGCCCACGAGAGAAAAAGGTTTGAGAATATGATGAGCATTCATATAAAGGAGGGTTGATGGGAAGAGGCTTAGGGAAGTTGTCAGGGATGATAATGGGACAGAGAGACAGTCCTGGCTTCTCTCCTTCCAGGTCCCAGAGTTCCCCACTGAGGGAGAATGTCGTTATTCTAGGCCAACAGAGCTGCTCCCAGCAGAGCAGCCAGCTGAGTGCTGTGCTCACAGCTGGCCTGTGTAAGGACCTTCTTGTGTCATTATCTATAAGATGATTTTATCTAGGGGAATTGGACCCTGGGCATGAACCTGAGTCAGGACGATGCCCTCAGTGGGGAATTCTAGCCTGAGGGGCAGCCTCCCCTCCAGATGGGTTTGCAGCAGCTGGACCCTCAGTGGGCAATCTGCAAGCTCCCTCAGAGCTCCTGGGGGCAGGGGCATCCAGGCAGTGTTATGGGTACTGGCAGGACCCCTCGAGGGCAAGCTATGGTCCCACCAGGCACCCTCTCAGGAGCCTCTGTCCCACATATGTACATTCAGCAACCCCTGCCTGTCATTCTGGTGGAGCCTTGAGCTCCTCAAATCCTGCCCTAGGCCACTGTTTCTTTTTGCTTTTCATCATTTGTAGTTTTTCATGCACCTTGAACTCCTACTCAGTCCTTCATGCTAAGTGCTCTCCATGTGTTAAACTGTTCTACTCTCATGATTGCTTTTTTCCTTTTCAGGTGGACTGCACCTTTATTGTGGATGTCAGACCATGGTTTTCCCAGTTCTCCCTCCTCAACAGTACCTGTGTGCAGAAATAGGCAGAGTAGCAGCCCCTGGCTCCTCAGGCGGAAGTTCCTTTCCCTCTAGAGAGCAACAGTCTATAGTCCCCGGTCTGTTCAGTATCCCCTGTTCAGGGGAATTAAAGGTATCTCAGAGTACTTTCTGGGTCTCTGTCTGTTTTGCACTATCCCACATCTTTTATATTTTATAAATGCTGCTTCCCCCCATGACAAGGGGTGGAGAATTGACCATCATTATTGCTCTTACCTTGGCTATAGGTGCAGAGTATTGGGTCAGTCAGAATCCCCATCTCATGGGAGGCTGCCCTAGTCATTCTTGCAGGGTCCCCACTGGTTGGTTGATGTACTTATTCATCCATCCCTCCATCCCTCCATTCTTTTTTTTGTTAATAAATCTATTTTTTTATTGGTGTTCAGTTTGCCAACATACAGAATAATACCCAGTGCTCATCCCGTCAAGTGCCCCCCTCAGTGCCCGTTACCCATTCAGCCCCACCCCCCACTCTCCTCCCCTTCCACCACCCCTAGTTCGTTTCCCAGAGTTAGGAGTCTTTATGTTCTGTCTCCCTTTCTGATATTTCCTACCTATTTCTTCTCCATTCCCTTCTATTCCCTTTCACTGCTATTTATATTCCCCAAATGAATGAGACCATATGTTTGTCCTTCTCCGATTGACTTATTTCACTCAGCATTCCATCCCTCCTTTCTTCCATGTATGCATTCCTTTATTCATCCATCCTCCAATGTCTCCATGCCCCTCATCTATTCCACTCAAAAGGAATGCAGACAATTTTGCTGGGTAATAGCCACCTGCTTCTTCTTTCCTTTTTTTTTAAACTATTGTATTTATTTATTCATGAAAGATACACACAACACACACACAGATAAAGAGAGAGAGAGAGAGAGAGAGAGAGAGAGAAGCAGAGACACAGGCAGAGGGAGAAGCAGGGTCCATGCAGGAAGCCCAACATGGGACTCGATCCCGGGTTCCCAGGATCACGCTCTGGGTCGAAGGTGGCACCAAACCACTAAGCCACTGGGGCTGCCCAGGCTTCTTTCTTCCAACTCTGGAGTCAGGTTCACAATGGGGTGGTCCTTCTGAAGAGGGGTCATATATAGTCACAGGGATTGGAGGTGGGTAAGTAAAGTTGACTAAGGGCTCTGCCCTCTGTGGACACCCATCAGGGCATCTGCACATGAGCCTCTTGACACATGGAGGGTAATCCCAGGGCCTCTGAGGATAGCTCAGAAAATGGTAGCTCCAGTCACCATGTCCCACCTGCTCCTTGATGATGCCTGTACCCTCTTTCTCAGCCCAGTGTGGCCTCCATGTCTGTCAACACCAATCACTAATCCTGGGATGGGCACTGTGGTGACAGACACCCAGCCTGATAAGCAGCCCTGTCTTCTAGGATCCTCATGGGCAGCAGCCCTGGAGGAGCAGAGTGAAGGAGGGTGTGGGGGCACCTGGAGGTGTGACTGGGATAGACACACTGTGGCAATGCCACTTGAAGGAATCTTTCAGCATGGAGGGGCTGAGGCATCTTTCTTCCTTCCTCCTGGTTTCTAAGAATTCTGATTTAGTTGTTCCTAGTTGAAAGTCTACCTGTTTCCTAGACAATCCTTTTTTCATGGAGTGTTCATAAGCAATGATGTAATATGATTTCCCAAGATGACTGGGGCATAACACAAAAATAGTGGCCTGGTTCAGCTTTGGCTTTTTGAACAGTCTGTGTAGTTTTTAAGATCTCCCACACTTTGATAGGGGCATATACAATCTTTCAAGGGTAAGTCTATGTGGTCAGCAGAGCTGACCTATTACCCACCCTGGCTTTAGAGCACTCATGTACTAAGGGATTGAGCCATTATGTCTGGGCTGTGTGGCTTCATCTTAGGAGGCCTGGTGTTCTGTTCTTTCTCACTCTCTCTGTCATGTCTTATCTCAATCGACATGAAAACAACCTTGGTTTCATTCTACAAATCTAAAAACCAAGCCATATCCCCCCTTTCTATCATAGAAGAATCTCTGTGACCTGACATCAAAAGACATAAGGTCCCCAGGTAATTAGCACTGTGGACACAGTTGGGAAATAGTTCTCTAAGGAACTGCGAAATTTAGAAATGTGTGAATTGCAGTTAGGGTATTTTGTATGTGACCTATGTCTTTTCTCTGATTCCTGCTCTGATAGAATAGGGAATTAAAAACATGGCCCCATTCATGGAATTGATGTTCACGGGTGATGGTTTATGCAGGAGTCTTTGATAGGGTGGGTAAATGTTGTGCCTGCCACTATTGCCCTTGATGTGCCCACATTAATAGCTCTTGAATGAACCAGCATCATCAAGGTGAGTCAGCCACAGGGGCAACCCGTCCTGTGTCATCATGTCCTGGAGGGACCTCTCCAGATCCAGCCCAGTACTCATTGTCCCAAATTAGAAGGGAGCAAAAATATACTTGGAAGTTACAAATCAAGTACACACATAGAAACATTGACACACATTTCAGAAATTCTTGATTTCTACAAAACCCAGAATATTTTATAGGACTTCTGGCTTTGAGGAATAGAGCTCCCTGGAATATATTTATGAGACCCCTCCTGAAATAGGGACTTAACCAGAATCTCAACACTGGGGTCTTCAGGGAAGCATCAAAGGGGAAAGGGAGGAGGTAAAAGAGAAAGGGGGGAACTGTACTCCCTGCAAGTAAGGTTGATGTCATAAAATCCAAGTGATGAAATGATCTCTGTTAACCCTCACCACCAGCTTCCTTCTCCATTTCTATATCAGGGCCCTGGCAGCTAGCCTAATAATTCTTTATTGTGCTTTTCTTAAATTGAGCTCACAGGTTGAGTCCAGCTCTTATCACTCATGTTTCCAAATGCAAAGATCCATAGACATTAGCAAAGAAATGAAGGCTTAGGAATATGTGTAACTAGATATTTGTTATACCCTTTCCATGATGCTTTCCAAATATTTTCAAAACAAAATCACATATCATAGAAATTGCTATTGTTTATCTGATTTCCTATGCTGTCTTATGAGGACATGTTTTCAGTCCAGCAATATCATCAGTGAATCAAAACCAACATATCAATGTCCTAAAGTATTGCATTTATTGAACTGAGCCCCTCATTTCTATCTTCAACTGCCCCATTCTCAGGTGCCATCCTTTAGCATCTACCCCAATGTATTCCCCAAATGCCCAATATGCTGTGTATAACCTCTCCTTCTTCTCCAGTCTCCTTTCAAATATACTCTTTAGATGATGACATCTGTTATCTCTAAAGTGATCTATATTTTACATAGATCTATCTCATGACTTACATCCTATGTGTCGCTATCAGATCAAGGTAAAATATTTCAAAGTCACGCAAAATCTTGGTTAGTTCTACATGTTTAAAACATAGAATGTCCATAAACCACATCTTCTTTATCCATTCATACACAATGGAATTAGCCATTAGAAATGACAAATACCCACCATTTGCTTCAACGTGGATGGAACTGGAGGGTATTATGCTGAGTGAAGTAAGTCAATTGGAGAAGGACAAACATTATATGTTCTCATTCATTTGGGGAATATAAGGGAAGGGAGAAGAAATGTGTGGGAAATATCAGAAAGGGAGACAGAACATAAAGACTCCTAACTCTGGGAAATGAACTAGGGGTGGTGGAAGGGGAGGAGGGCGGGGGGTGGGGGTGAATGGGTGATGGGCAGTGAGGGGGATACTTGACGGGATGAGCACTGGGTGTTATTCTGTATGTTGGTAAATTGAACACCAATAAAAACTAATTTATTAAAAAAAAAGAAAGAAAGTTATCTAGGTAAGTTGGTGGGGACAGGTGACTTGGGGACCCTACTCTTCCACCATCTTGCTGAGGACCCCCGATTCTGATCTATTTGGAATCTATTTCCATTCTTGAATTCTTAGTAGGTAAGAATAGGCAGGTGTAGCTAGGAAGAGGTGGGAGTAGGTGACAGTAGGGCAGCTTGAATAGAGAGTAGTAATTGGGAATGGGTGAGAGAATGCAGGAGTAGCTGGGAGTAGGTAAGAGTATATGGGAGTAAGTGAGAGTAGCTATGAGTAGCTAGAAGTAGGTGAGGTAGGTGGGAGTAGCTGGGGGCAGCTAGCAGTAACTATGAGCGGGTGGTGGAGACATCTTAGACTTGGGTGGAAGCAGTGACTTTTGTATTGGGACTTGCAGGTGGCTGAGGTGAAGGTGAGGGATCATGAAGCCCTGCTAAGGAAGCTGGGCCTGGATGGGGAGGCAGGGTACTGCTTAGTCTTTGGTGAGGTGGGAGAGGCTATTAGAGATATGGTTGAAGATATGAGTGCACACAATCAAAGTGTGATCAAAATGCCTTTGCATTTTTTAATAAATATATTTATTTGTGAAGAATAGAATAATATTTAGTGTTTTGCCTCTTGACTCACATGTGCATGGATACACAGAGGCACAAATACAATACACTGGTTCCCAGACCTGGCTGTGCCCTGGAAGCCTGGAATGGCTTCCTCATCACTGGACTTTCTTCAACATTGATTTTATTTCTTTTAATTTTTTAAAAAAAGATTTTATTTATTTTTTCATGAGAGACACAGAAGAAAGATTGAGGCAGAGACACGGGTAGAGGGAGTAGCAGGCTCCATGCAGGGAGCCTGACAGGGGACTCGATCTGGGGTCTCCAGGATCTCACCATGGGCGAAAGGCGGTGCTAAACTGCTGAGCCACCAGGGCTGCCCCCAACATTGATTTTATTAGTGGGAGTGGCCTAGGTACTTCTTTTTTTTAAATTGAAGTTCAATTTGCCAACCCAGTGCTCATCCCATCAAGTGTCCTCCTCAGTGCCCATCACCCAGTTACCCCAACCCCCTGCTCACCTTCCCTTCTGCAACCCTTTGTTTCCCAGAGTTAGGAGTGGCTTAAAACTTGGCTTAGAACTCCCCAAGTGCCTTTAAAATGTAGCAAAATCTGGGATCCCTGGGTGGCGCAGCAGTTTAGCGCCTGCCTTTGGC